ATGAAAACTGATACTTTATATATGTAACATGTTTACCTATTATGTACTTCTAATTTTTTTTTTTTGAGACAGAGTTGCACTCTGTCACTCAGGCTGGACTGCAATAGTGTGATCTTGGCTCACTGCAACCACTGCCTCTCAGGTTCAGGCAATTATCGTGCCTCAGCCTCCCAAGCAGCTGGGATTACAGGTGTGAGCCACCACACTTGGCTAATTTTTGTATTTTTTAGTAGAGACAGGGTTTTGCCATGTTGACTAGGCTGGTGATTTGCCTCAAGTGATCGGCCCACCGCAGCCTCCCAACATGCTAGGATTACAGGCATAAGCCACGGTGCCAAGCATTTTTTTCTCTCTTTTTTTTTTTGGAATTTTAAGAGATGAGGTCTTGCTCTGTAGCCCAGGCTGGAATGCAGTGGTGCGATCATGGCTTCATTGCAGCTTCAAACTCCTGGGCTTAAGTGATCCTCCCACTTTAACCTCCCAAATAACTGGGATTACAGGCATAAGCCACTGCACCCCAATTCTAACATTTTAATAATTTACACAATTACATGCCAAAGTAGAATATCCTGAAACATGAACACACACTTCATATTCTGAATTTAGCACTTTTGTTTTAATTACATTTTACTTTTTTACCTGTTCGGAAGTGAGATGTTGATTTGTGATCTCCTATAACAAGACGACCAGTATGTTCTTTCTATAAGAAGGTTGAAAATGTATTAGCATTTGAGACCACTAATTTGACCTTACTGGGTATCTACTATGTGCTGAAAACTATTCTAGGCTTCTGGGACACAGTGAAGACAAAAGATTAAATTAGAATCTCTGCCTTTAAGGACCTTACATTCTAGCAAGGGTAGGAATGGAGAAGGGAGACAGGCAAACATAATCGCTATTTATACTATGTTAGAAGGTACTAAGTGTGATTAAAACAAAACAGACCTGAGTAAGGAGTAGAGCAGGTTGGAATTTTAAATAAGATGAATAGATAACTAGAAAATTGAGTCAATCTAAACATTTTCTTTCCTAAAGGCCAGTTAAATGACTTGCTTTAACTTCCCACCTGTTCTGCTGCCTCAAGTATATCTCATGGAGAGAAAGCAAATGAGATTTAGCCAGACAAAAATGAAATAATTAAAACTTATAATGTATCATATAAAGTGATAGATCTTATTACAGTATATCACAATCATTAGCTATCTCTTTACTATTTGACAATAAACTACTAATCTCAACTTGTCAAAAAGAACAATTTAAAACAATCCTGTACTCTAAACATAAAAATACATCTGATTCAATATTACCAACTGATTAAACTGCATAATTACTCTCAATTTAATCAGTTCTATCCACTCTTTATGGTTCATATTTAGTTTCATAAGTGCTCATTAAAACACCGTGTGAAGGTGAGAATAAATGTAACTTTGGAAAGCAATCTTAACCAATCATCTGTGAAGATATAGTAACAAACCTTCCTATTGTGAAAAAATGGCAGGTACAGTCTCCATACACAAAAATGATATTATTGGAAAAGTTCAAGCGTTAATGCTCATTGCTTTATGTGCCATTAACACATAAGCAAATCAATAATTCAGTGTGTTACTTGTTTAGGTTGCAAAACCGACAGCCATTAACAAGATTTTAATATAACAGCATCAAGTTATTCCAGGATGATGACGGTATTGCACTGATCTATTCATATGCTCTTAGCTGGTTCTTCCTGTGACCAATAACATATTCATGATAGCTGGCTAGGATTACAAATATACTTTGTGGCCACAAAATGGAATAAATCTAAACAGCCCATATGAAGATCAAAGCTACAATCTTGGCGTCACAAAGAATTTATGGGCCAGGCGCAGTGGCTCATGCCTGTAATCCCAGCACTTTGGGAGGCCGAGGAGGGTGTATCACAAGGTCAGGAGTTCAAATGGTGAAACCCTGTCTCTACTAAAAATACAAAAATTAACCGGGCATGGTGGCAGGCACCTGTAATCCCAGCTACTCGGGAGCCTGAGGCAGAGAATTGCTTGAACTCGGGAAGCAGAGGTTGCAGTGAGACTGTCTCAAAAAAAAAAAAAAAAAAAAGAATTTAATCTATACTCAACAACCTATTTATTAGTCAACTTCCATATATTTTATATTAGGATGTTCTTCCTAAGTACTTGAATAATTTTCATTCTACTAAGTTGAATATGGCCCCTAAACTAACACTTACCTTACATATGCTTAACAAATCTTTTAAGTCCTCACTTAATTTTCAATGATAGGTTCTTAGAAACTTCAACTTTAACTGACTTTAGTTGAAACAACCTATAATGAAAACAATTTTCCTCCTTATCAGTGTTACAGTGAAACAACTTTATTGTCAGTTTGCTAAAAGTTAGTTTCCAAGAAACATAAGAGATGTTAAGTGAGGACTTAGTATATTTGCATGAAACGAGAGAAACTGCAGACTATTTTCTATGACAAATTACAAATTGGGAAATCTGGAGTAATGAGATATTATACAAATGCTTTATTTAAATAGGTCTCAGTGTTTTACATGACCTCTTCCTATCCCCAAACCCACTGTTGTAGTCTGGCTAACTCCTTCTCATCCTTTGAGATTCAGATCAATTCTATTTTGGGGAAGCTTTCTTGCACTGCTAAACCAGAGTTAGCTGCCCTCTGTGATTCCACAGCACTATGTGCATGGCTTTCTCACAGCAATTACAATTCCGTATTGTTATTATCTGGTTTCCTCCATTACATACTAGCTCCAAACATATATTATTGATCTATGTGACCACCCAGGATCCAGCACAGTAGTAGGTAGTCTATAATTGTTGGGAAAATGAATGAATGTATTCCCATGTGTATAACAAAACAAAGAGCAGAATTTCATTTTAAGGAGCTTAAAAAAAGAGAAAAAAAGCTTTCCTATTTCTTTTTCAATTTAGTTTTTAGGAAGACTATTGGGACAATGTTAGGAAAATAAATTTACTTGCTTAAAAAAATAAGTATCTAGAGATCCCTGTATAAACTGCTAGGATAAAGAAAGGTTTTTACAAGAGATATTTTCCTGGCACTTGTTTTATACAGTTGACCCCCGAACACAGGATTAACCTGTGTGGATCCACTTACACTTGAATTTACTTCTGCCTGTGCCACTCCCAGACAGTAACACAATCTCTCCTTTTCAGCCCACTCAACATGAAGACTATGAGGATGAAGACCTTTATGATGATCTACTTCCAATTAATGAAGAGTCAATTATTTTCTCTTCCTTATAATTTTCTTGATAACATTTCCTTTTCTTTATTATAAGAATACAGGATATAATAACACCCAAAATATGTGTTAACTGGTAATTATGTTATCCAGTAAGACTTCCAGTCAACAGTAGGCTATTAGTAGTTAAGTTTTTGGGAAGTTGAAAGTTATATGCAAACTTTTGATTGCCTGCAGAACCAGCACCCCTAACCCCCACATTGCTCAAGGGTCAACTGTACCTTCTATTAACGTTAACCAAACTGACAGGCATTTCAAAGTACCTTGAACACTTTTAAAATTAAGGGTTCCCCCCCCCCCCGGCTTGGTCCCTGGTGTTCTACACATTCAGAGAAACTTCTCTATCTAGTAACAAACTATAGAAATAATCTCTGAAAGTGTAGTCTTAAAATTAGGTTTTTGATAAAGGATATTCCTGTAGTTACTACTTCAAAGGCTGGCGGGAGCTACAAAATATGACAGGCTTTTCACTTTGGCCAGAGGTTCCCACAAGATAACCAACCCAGAAGAAATATCTTCTATCAAACCACTGGGCCAACACATGGCAAATCATAAACTTTGACATGTCTTTTCTCCTATACAGCCTCCTTGAGCCAAATTTTTCTCTGTGCAGTCTTCAAACTTTACGGACAGAGAATCCTAGATGTGGCTCAAAAATAATATAAATTTTATGTGCTTGGTTAGACCAGACGTATTTCCCAAAGCCAAAATAAATCACACAGAACAGGAAAATGGAATCCACGTATATTCAGTCCTTCTTACTTAGCATACACAAAAATGGCAGTAGTTTCACAGAAAAGGTAAAAATGCATACCATCTGATGCTTACCTTTCCTGCACCCATAAGTCTCAAGAACTTTTGTTTTCTCTCTTCATTACCCAAGTCTGCTGCCTCCCAATTGCTAGATCCCAGCTGGAAAAGAAATTGGTTATTTTTTTTTTTTTTTTTTGCATAAAAATAAGTGTTACAAAATCTAAAGTCTACCTGTAACTCCTAAGTTTTTTTTCCCCTGTCAGTTGTAAATATAAACAGGGTTCGTTTTTCTTGTTTAGGAAGTTCAGCATATTCATCACATTCAAATTTACTCCTTTTCTATTACCTCACAGCAGAATCCTTTAGTTCTTCTGCAGCCAGAGCTGAGTCTCAAGTTTGCCTGTATCAGAGTCCTAGAGGGCTTGTTAAAACAGACTGCAGGGCTACAGCCCCAGAGATTCAGCAAGTCTGGGGTGGAGCTCTAGGATTTGAATTTCAACAAATTCTTTTTTTTTTTTTGAGACGGAGTCTGGCTCTGTCGCCTGGGCTGGAGTGCAGTGGCCGGATCTCAGCTCACTGCAAGCTCCGCCTCCCAGGTTCACGCCATTCTCCTGCCTCAGCCTCCCGAGTAGCTGGGACTACAGGCGCCCGCCACCTCGCCCGGCTAGTTTTTTGTATTTTTTTAGTAGAGATGGGGTTTCACCGTGTTAGCCAGGATGGTCTCGATCTCCTGACCTCGTGATCCGCCCGTCTCGGCCTCCCAAAGTGCTGGGATTACAGGCTTGAGCCACAGCGCCCGGCCTCAACAAATTCTTAAGTGATTGCTGATGCTATTTATCTGGGGACCACACTTTGAGACCCACTGCCTTGCAGGGTCCTAGAGCACCTAGTACTCTGAACTTAGACGGCAGCCACAGTTGTTAGTTGAAGTTAAAAATTCTGGCTTTATCAGTGAGCTAACTTTTAACTTAAGAGAGAAAATTTTAACTTTTCAGTTTCCTTTTAGAGCAGTTCTAATTATTTGTTAGGATTGAGATGTCATTACTTTTATTCTTTCTTAAAAGTCTTCCAAAGAACAAAGAGAAAACTTATTTTTTAAAAGAATAGACTAAAACTCATTCTATTGCAATTATCAAATGAGTCCACTGAACTCTTATAAATCTAAGAAATACGATGGAATCCTAGTGAGCATATTTTTCCCTACATTTTGAAACAAATGTGAAAACTGTTGTTTTTTAACAGTTCATTATTTATAATTCATTATTCCCAACTGTGCTAAAAATAACTAAAATAATTTTTAAGATAGTTTTCTCACTGTATTGTCCAAAGTATTTCATCATCTTTCAAGACATCATACCTGTTGTCTACTTTTAGCTTTCATTGAACACAGATGGGAATTCACAATTTTTCATTTTCCATTCATAATGGCAAGGAGAAAAAACGGACAGAAGGCATTAACTATTATTAGATGAAGAAGGTGAATGCAAAATGACAGGCAGTCATATTCCAGACTAATGATGATAAAATTAACTGCAAAAATCTCAGACTATGAGTTTTTGGATGAGGAAATACTAGAAGGCTTTTCTCCCACCCAAGAATCGACAAGAAAAAGAAAAAAAAGACAAACAAGAAATGTACTCTCACTGGGAGAGCCATCAGCAGGAAGGACAGTATTTTACAGTAAGAACCAGGATCATTCTATTTTCTAAAAGGAGGTGTGACTGTTTTATTTCATCTTTTACAATGTTTATGCATCAAAATTTACTTGACTTGGTTGCAAATGGACAAAGGGTGAAGGCAGATGTGTATACAAGCTGACTGGAAGGAAAATGAAATAAAAATATTCACTGAATTTATCATTCTAATTAAGTTTATAATCTAAAAATAAAAATGTTTTGCAATTATGGAGCAAGGATGACAAATCCTTCTTCAACACAAAATTGTAAGCAATAGAAGGTTTCAAAAATTCTTCAAGTATTGTATTTTGATGATGCAAATGCGAGACGGGTTTGAACTTCAAGGGTCCCTTATAAGTGGATTTTTTTCAACCAAATGCAGATCCATCCCAAGTATATGGAAGGCTGATTTTTCCTATTCTCAAGTTCCACAGGCCTGGCTGCGGGACTTGAGTATGCAAGATTTGCCAAGGAGGTGGGTGGGTCCTGGAACCAATCCCCCACATTTAGCATACTGAAGGATGACTATATGTACATCAAAATCAGGAAAACACAGAATATAAATTTCGGTTTGCTATTGTTAAATTCACATTAAAATTCCTAATAAAGTTGTTTTGCACTATCTCCCTTTATTCTTATTTCTAAAAATTATTTGTAAAAGACTAAAATATTAAAAAAAACACTATTTCCCCTGAGCATATGAGAGTTAAAGCATTTGTACCAACCTGGACCCATTTGCGCTTCTAAATTCTCATTAGTGGAAGGGCTTATATGCTCTCATAATTTTGGTTCCCTAAGTTCCAAATCTCTACTTCTTTCCACGTGACCCCCTCATATATTTTTATAGGCCATTTAGTTCTTAACTATTTCTGGCTCAATATAGTTAAAGTAATGGTGAAGCTTCAGTTCTGACTCTCACTAAATCACTGGCTCTATAAGCCAGGATCTGACATTTAACTTAATTTTAACTCATCTATAAAGAGATGCCTTTTTAAAAGACTGTCTTAAGACACTGAGGCACAGAGAGGCTAAGTGACTTGCTTTGATCCTCTGACCATCCTGTGTTTTTTCCACATCATACTGTCCATGATCAAATGAGACAGATGAAAGTGGTCTATGAACTCAGTTATACAAATGTACAGCATTAAGTTAAAAAAATTGTGTAAAAACCAACTTTCTTGATTCTGCTTCTAATAAAAGAGTAAAACATCTTCAGTGTTTATATAAATAATCCTGTCATCTACAACTTCTAATCCCAATGTTTTAAGGAAATAACATTAAGTCCTGCCAGTTCTTTTCAAAGCAGCACTCCGGGACTGGACTGGCATCAGGAACCGGTTTCATGGAAGACAATTTTTCCACTGAGAGGGAGGATGTGATAATTTCAGGATGATTCAAGTGCATTACATTTATTGGGCACTTTATTTCTATTATTACTACATTGTAATCTATAATGAAATAATTATACAACTCACCATAATGTAGACTCAGTGGAAGCTTTGAGCTTGTTTCCTAAAACTAGACAGTCCCATCTGGGGGTAATGGGAGACAATGACAGATCATTTGGCATTAGATTCTCATAAGGACTGTGCAACCTAGATCACTCGCATGTGCAGTTCACACCAGGGTTCACGCTCCTATGAGAATCAAATGCCAACAGGAGGCAGAGCTCAGGTGGTAATGCAAGCCATGGGGAGTGGCTGTAAATACAGATGAAACTTTGCTGGCTGGCCCACAGCTCACATCCTGCTGTGCAGCCTGGTTCTGTGGCCCAGGGGTTGGAGACCCTTGCCTTAAAGTGCAACAGTGAGTACCTTGTCCAAATGCTGCTTTCTGAAAAGCACGTGGGTGCACTATACATTTTAAGAGAGGTTCCTTAGCAGTTACTCCCCACTCTTCCCACTTCCTATAAGATCGCTTTCATTTCTCCACTCCAAGCCATTGAAACTACTTTTAAGTTGTCTTCATCCTTAATACCCTTTCCTACAGAACTGCAATCAATTTACCTTCTGAATACACACCCTGGTGACTTAGAATTTACTCCTACATTGTTAGCATTTTGCTAGAGTTGTATTCTGTGATTATCTACTTTTAATATTAAAAAAATGTTTTGTTACCCCAATTAGATGTGAGGTCAATGGGCATAAGAAAACTTCAATGATCTCTTACATACCGTGGATGCTCATTAGAAACTGTTTCCCAACTATATGTTACAGCTAGATTTTTTTTTTTTTTTTGAGACAGAATCTTGCTCTATCGCCCAGGACGGAGTGCAGTGGCCCGATCTCGGCTCACTGCAAGCCCCGCCTCCCAGGTTCACATCATTCTCCTGCCTCAGCCTCCCTAGTAGCTGGGGCTACAGGCGCCCACTACCATGCCCGGCTAATTTTTTAAATAGAGACGGGGTTTTACTGTGTTAGCCAGATGGTCTTGATCTCCTGACCTTGTGATCTGCCCACCTCGGCCTCCCAAACTGCTGGCATTACAGGTGTGAGCCACTGCACCCGGCCTGCTAGTTTTTTTTTCCTACAACAGCTTGGAGGTCTTTTAATGAATGTATTACCTATGGTTAAAAAAATTTTTTTTTTAAAGTACTGGTTGGGCGAGGTGGCTCACACCTGTAATCCCAGCACTTTGGGAGGCCAAGGTGGGCAGATTGCTCGAGTCTAGTAGTTGGAGACCAGCCTCGGCAACGCGGCAAAACCTGGTCTCTACTAAAAATACAAAAAATTAGTTGGGTGTAGTGGCGCACACCTGTAGTCCCAGCTACTGTGGTGGTGATGTGGGGAGAGGGGGTTGAATCAGGAGGATCACTTGAGCCAGGAAGGTGGAGGCTGCTGGGAGCACTGATTGTGCCACTGCACTCCACCCTGGGCAACAGAGAGAGACCGTGTCTCACCAGTCTCAAAACAAAAACAAAACCCAGGTACTTAAAGATACGCTTACATGATTGGGAAAGGTCTTAAAGGTCGTCTAATCTCTTCCAAAGCTGTAAACTTAATGACTTAATCCCTTTAACTTTGTGAAATTTCGTATCACCTGGAGATTTCTGTCACGCTAAAAGATACTTCCAAACAGGTGTCTGACATCCTAGCAATCAAGTCATATTTAAAGATCAGGAGGAAAACAATGTTAACAGCTTTTTAAGTGAGCCAGGTTACTCAAAAACGTGAATCAATTCCTGACAAAACCTGAATTACCATATTAACAAGATCGAAAAGCCAGTAGCAGAAACAACAGAGAGCAAGAATAAACTTCTCTAGATGCCCATTCATCTCCAAATCTTTATTGATAGCTAATCTTTCTGCAGAGCTGAAGTCGATTCCTTTAAAGACCCTTACTATTCCGGTCCTCGCCCCACCTCCCACTCAGAGGGGCAGGTCTTAACACCATCTCATTTGCTACAAAGTAGTATTCAGTAGGCTTTTAAAATTTTATGAAAAGCACGGAAATAGAAAAATTAAAAGCTCTATGTATTCAGAAATTTACACTACTTCAAACAAAACCGAAAAAAACTTAGATATCCCTTCATCATCCTTAAAGATGACCTCTCCGCTCCCTCTCCAACAATTTCCCCATCAACGTTGCCAAGACATTTATCCATTGTATGAAGGACCTACTTTTACGTTTACTGGTTACCTACTGTTTCCATGACACTGCGCTACGAGCTAGGGCAAATATACAAAAAGGCCTAAAATAAGCATCATATTTCTCTCCGAATTCCCAACACCCGGCACTGCAGTAAATATTTAATAGGTTACTTTAAGAGATAAACCGTTTGCTATTAAAACCTATGAGGTGGGGGCTGGAGAAGGGAACGGCATTTGATGGGGAGACGAGGTAAGAAGAACAAGGTATTAATATCCGACATCAAAATGGGCTTCTAGGTCTCAACGTCTCAGACCTCACCACCAAAGCCAGTACCAAATTACACCCGTGGCACAATTTTCGGCTCAATACTGTTCTCGGTTTACCCTTACTAGTGCAGCTAAAGTTAACTATCAACTGCACATTGCAAAAATCATCTAGGCAGGAAAATCTGTCCAAATGTGCACGAACATTTCGACATTGTCACAGGAACATTTAGAATCCAAAACAGGGAGAGTCTCGCCGTCTCTATCGTGAGCACAAAGGCCCGAGAAACCATCCTCATCGGCCCCCCAAAACGCACGTAAGAAATCCCTTGACTAAGCTCTTTCACTCCTCGACCCTCTCCGAATTTCCTTCCTCAATCCCCCTTCCTACGCAGGTCTTCGGCTCCCAGCGTGTGGGCCTCTTCAAACCTTCTCACCCTCATAAAGATTAAGGGAGACATTTCCCACTCATTCTTCTGGTTTCTCCCCTGGGCTCTCCCGCTGCGGGCCACCTCAGGCGCGTCCTCCTCCAACCACCCTTCCTGGCCTACTCCAGCCTTTCGTAGGCCTCAACCCTCTGCCACTCCGCCATTGTTATTTACATCGTCATCTGGGGAGGCCGAACGCTTCACCCCATGCGGGTGAGACTCTCTGGCAGCACTCATCCTTGCAGGGATCCCGACGAAAAATGCCGAACCCTCTAGCCGCTCTCCCCAGCCGCAACACCAGCAGCCTGCAATCCACCACCGGCCCAAGCAGCACCACTCCGGAACGCAGAGCCCCTCCCGGCCTTCTCTGCGACAGTCGTCACCGTTGCGGCCCCTCGCCGCCCCGGGGCACTTTGGGAATTGTAGTTTTCTGAGTCACCGCATACTGGCCCGAATAACAAAGATGTGTCGGTGACTAAAACTACAATTCCCAGGAAGCCCGGAAGCTCAATTCGCGCTGTGTGGCGGGAGTGCCCTCGGAGGCCCCGCCTTTGGCTGGTGGAGGGAGCGTTCTCGCGGATGAGTATGGCGGTGAGCGTTGACTGAGAGCTTGGTCGCCACAGGAGGTGGCTTAGAGGGCTTTTTGCCTTTCACGACGCTGCCCTACTGGCAAATGTATCATCGTAACTAGGCACCTGTGTTTAAATGTAATATTTCAGGCTGACTGAATCCTCACGAATACTCTCCACCCAGGACAAAAACCTTAAAAAATGGCTTCTACCATTTCCACTCCGGTGTTCTCTATTGCGCGTAGGGGATTTCTAGGTGGCCGGTGATGCTGCTTTCTAAAGGTTTTGATGAATATTTCGCTATTTTCCCATACAGAAATGAGTTCAGTATGTTGTTAAATGTTGGCTAATTGGCGGTTATTGAAAACGGGGATTCAGCTGAGGGAAATCTGTTAAGTTTTCATATGGCTTTGTGTGAGGTGGGAGTGCTCCTCACTGACCTCGCTGCAGATGTCTGGGCACCGTACGGTAGGGGCCTTCACCAAGCAAAGTCCATCCCTGCCACATAAGCCCCCCCACTTTTTTTAAAAGTAATTATTGAGATGAAATTCACACATAAAAACCATCTTAAAGTGTACAGTCCAGTGGCACTTAGTACATTCACAATCGTGTGCGGCTGTCACCTCTGATTCCAAGACGTTTCACCACTCCAAAAGGAACCCCAATGCCCGTTAGCAGTCCCTCCCCATTTCTCGCCCTCTCCAGATTCAAGTAATCGCGCCTCTACTCAAAAAGCCTTGCATTTAAAAGTATTTATTGTTAAGATACTGGAGACTATCTCCTACTTTATCAAGGTGTCTGAATCTGTAACTAGGTCTGAACTTTCTGTCAGAATCCTTGTCCTTAGTAATTCTGAAGCTTTCTCACCTTGAATACAAACGTGATTTTTTTTTTTTAAGCAAAAACTAGGCCGGGGGCGGTGGCTCAGGCCTGTAATCCCAGCATTTTGGGAGGCTGAGGCGGGTGGATCACGAGGTCAGGAGTTCGAGACCAGCCTGACCAACATGGTGAAACCACGTCTCTACTAAAAATACAAAAATTAGCCTGGCGTGGTGGCGCATGCCTGTAATCCCAGCTACTGGGGTGCTGAGGCAGGAGAATCGCTTGAACCCGCGAGGCGGAGGTTTCAGCGAGCTGAGATGGCGTCACTGCACTCCAGCTTAGGTGACAGAGCAAGACTCGATCTCTAAATAAATAAATAAATAAATAGTTAAGTGATATGGATAATACATATCTAGTGTTTCGGAACTGACAGCAGTCTGTGAAACAATGCTTAGCCATTAGCTTTTGAACTCAGCAATTGCTCTAGTTTGACTGCCTGTGTACCAATATTACTTACCCAGATTTCAGATCATCACTGAACCATTCATAGAACTGTGACCAGTGGAAGGTAGTTTTTAAATTTATGCAGTCATAGATTCAAATTCTCCCTTATTTTGGAAGCAGAAAAATAGCATAATAATAAGCAATATATTAGAAGTATAAGTAATATAATAGAAAAGGAGATGTCAGGGTCATATTTTATAAGTATAACCGAACAAAGAACATCTTAATCTATTAGTTCTGTGGTAAGAATAAATTGTAAATAAAGGAGGAGGAGAGTAAACCCAAGAGGAAAAAAAAAAAAAAAAGCATTGTTTTAGGAAGTGGTTGATTGCTTTTTGCTAGAATTAAAATATTTTCATTACTAACTCCATGATTCTACTTAGGTTCTATTAATTACAATGAAATTACATTTAAGTTACAGAGTTTCGCAGTTTCGACTACAGTTCACCTCTAATGGATTTGACATATGGTGATTTAGAACTCTTAGCTATATTACCAAAACAAATAAGATGGCTGAATAGGTACTTTAGACTGCTAAAAGAATTCTGAAATAAGAAAGGACTATCAATAAGAATAGTAGTTACTATATAATTTTAATTTTACTAGTTGGTGAAAGTCCAGAAAACTTTAATGAGCTAGCAACATGTCTTTTATTTCTTCACCAGAATTGTTGGCACCTGGATGGTAAATCTTCAAGTTACTATGAACGAAGATCACAAACCAAAAAGTAACATAGGAAATACTAAAGACTGGAACATTTTATCAGATTTTACTCGGTTTCATATAGAGAAAGCTATAGGTAAGGATGAAATTATACAGCGTTAATAGAATGCATATATGCCACAGAAACTCAGTAATGCTCCTCTTGTGTTGTAAAAACAAAGATACACTATCACGAGTGAAACAATGAAATACCTTCTTCAGGATTGGGACTGTTGCATCTCCATTTTGTTTCTGGCACAATGCCTGCTACAGGATAGCTAATAAATGTTTCTGAATTAATATAGGAAGGATGCAATTATATAGTACCAGAATGGTATCTTATATGAGACCCAGAAATTCAGCAATGTTCTTTCTTGGGTAGTACAGGCAAGGAGAGGAGGCCCTGTCACTGAGAACTTTCCATTTTGTTAAAATTTTCCCAACATTTAGCATGTAGTAGGCAGTCACAGATGTTTGTCGAGTACATTCTCTCAACCAGGGATAGTCATAATTGAGCATAGTTAAACCTGAAGAGGAAATAAAGGGTTTGAAGATTATACTGTGTACAAAAAATCTGCTGTTTCACTTGAAACTAAAAAAAAAAAAAATTCCTAGGGCCATAATTACAGTTACCATTTATTAAATACCCACCAGGTACCATATACTTTGCTAGGGGCTTTTTATAGGTGATTTTTAGAATTGACCTCAAAGTTTCACAATAATTTGCAAGAAGTAGGTAATTTTATAGGTAATTAAGCTTAAGAAAAGTTAAATACTTGCTTAAAGTAATGTAGCTAGTGAGTGATTCAGTCCTTAAGTCTAATTCCAAAAGCCAGTGCACTTTCCACTGTGCCAATATAACCCAACATTAAATAAGATGTTTCATATATGTCAGGAAGTGTGCCAAGTTTGAGGAAAACCAGAGTAAATAATGCATAATCTTTTACTGCAAGGAGTTTACAGCTTGGCAGGAGAATGATTAAGTGGCATCAGTAAATTACAAATAAAATGCTGTGGGAACAGCTCATTTTGGCTGAGGGAAATGAGAAAATTATTTCCCAAAAGTTTTTGAGCTAGGCCTTGAAAAACAGTTTGGGCAGGATGGGGCTTGTATTCAGTGATGGTTAGTGTCCAGTGTGCTGAAACCTGACAAGCCTAAAAATATTGTATTCTGAGACAAAATTCTATAGGTTGGTCAAAGCCAGGCTGTGAAAAGCCTTGAGTTTGAATCTCTCACTATATGTGTTCAGATTAAGATAATCTCTTTCATAGATCTGTGTGACCTATTTTCTAATACTTCTCCATTTAAATTCATTTTATGCATTCTAGCCAGATTCGACCTCTGAAAATGGAATGTAGAGATTCTCCTGCTCAAAAACTTCTTGGAGCTCCCCATTTTATACAGAATTAAGTTGATAGAATTAAGCCTGTAATTAAAACAAGAATTCAGTTCTTGAGGAAGAATAAGGTCGATATTCTGATCTCAATAGTCCATTCCAGTCTTATTTGTCTTATTTTCTACTATTATCTTTTACTTATCTTGTTTAGCCTGCCACAACAAAAATATGTGCTAGAATAAAGGTACTGAACAAAGATACTAGGCTTGCTGACTGTTCTAGACTCTCAGCTGCTTTTGGGTAGGATCTAAGCTTAGCACCATGACATATGTAAACTATCACTCAGTAGATGTTTGTTGTTTTAATATATGAATGGGTGAGATTAGAGAGGAGCAGGTTTATGTGGTAGGATGAGTTTGATTTTAGATATGTTAAAGTATTGGCAGGTCACCAAGTGGAACTGTTAAAAATATGGGCTTCAAAGTTAGGAGAGAGCAATAAACTTAGAAATCACCCATCTAGAGGTGATGAGTCAACAAGGAGAGTAATTGAGCTTGCCTAGTGAGTGCCTAGAAGAGACATCTTGGAACAGAAGAAGAAGGAGAAGATTAAGGATGGAATGAGGAAGAAGAGCCTGAGGTTAGAAGGTAGACATAGAACTAGAAGAAGGAGAGGTTAGTGTCATTGAAGCAAAGGGAAAAAATGTGAAAAAAAAAAGCTGTGGTGGACTATGAGATGAAACCCATTTAGAAGCTGATTTTAAAGGTGTAATATAAATGCAACTCTAGGGTCTAACAGAATCCTGAAAACAAGGTATAAATAAATACATATTTGTGGTTGATGATGATTGATGATTGGTTAACTCCCATTCTGTCCATTGGGCAGGCAGATTTGTCAGAGTGCTACTGTGATTTAAAATGTGGCACTATAAATATTAACGTGATTATTTCACACATACCTAGGAACTTAAATGAAAGAGGAATGAAAAGGGAAATGAAAAATGTATTGCTTAAAATTGCTTCAATAAAATTGTTGTTGATGTATATCTTCTTTTTTTGTTATTATACTTTAAGTTCTGGGATACATGTGCAGAACGTGCAGGTTTGTTACATAGGTATACACGTGCCATCATCTACATTAGGTATTTCTTATAATGCTATCCCTCCCCTAGCCCCCCACCCCCAACAGGCTCTGGTGTGTGATGTTCCCCTCCCTGTGTCCATGTGTTCTCATTGTTCAACTGCCGCTTATGAGTAGGAACATGTGGTGTTTGGTTTTCTATTCTTGTGATAGTTTGCTGAGACTCATGGTTTCCACCTTCATCCATGTCCCTGCAAAGGACATGAACTCATACTGCGTAGTATTCCATGGTGTATATAGGCCACATTTTCTTTATCCAGTCTGTCGTTGATGGGCATTTGGGTTGGTTCCAAGTCTTTGCTATTGGGAACAGTGCTTCAATAAACATACATGTGCATGTGTCTTTAAAGTAGAATAATTTATAATCCTTTGGGTATATACCCAGTAATGGGATTGCTGGGTCAAATGGTATTTCTTGTTCTAGATCCTTGAGATCACCATACTGTCTTCCACAATGGTTGAACTAATTCACATTCTCACCAACAGTGTAAAAGCGTTCCTATTTCTCCACATTCTCTCCAGCATCTGGTTTTTTTTTTTTTTTTTGAGACGGAGTCTCGCTCTGTCGCCCAGGCTGGAGTGCAGTGGCGCAATCTCGGCTCACTGCAAGCTCCGCCTCCCGGGTTCACGCCATTCTCCTGCCTCAGCCTCCCGAGTAGCTGGGACTACAGGCGCCCGCCCCTGCGCCCGGCTAATTTTTTCTATTTTTAGTAGAGACGGGGTTTCACCATGGTCTCGATCTCCTGACCTTGTGATCCGCCCACCTCGGCCTCCCAAAGTGCTGGGATTACAGGCGTGAGCCACCACGCCCGGCGCATCTGTTGTTTCTTGACTTTTTAATGATTGCCCTTCTAACTGGCATGAAATGATTGTGGTTTTGATTTGCACTTCTCTAATGACTAGTGATGATGAGCTTTTTCTCATGTATTTGTTGGCTGCATAAATGTCTTCTTTTGAGAAGTGTCTGTTCATATCCTTCACCCACTTTTTGATGGGGTTGTTTTTTTCCTGTAAATTTGTTTACGTTCTGTGCAGATTCTGGATATTAGCCCTTTGTCAGATGGATAGATTGCAAAAATTTTTCTCCCATTTTGTAGGTTTCCTGTTCACTCCGATGGTAGTTTCTTTTGCTGTGCAGAAGCTCTTTAGTTTAATTAGATCCCATTTGTCAATTTTGGCTTCTGTTGCCATTGTTTTTGGCGTTTTAGTCATGAAGTCTTTGCCCATGCTTATGTCCTGAGTGGTACTGCCTAGGTTTTCATCTAGAGTTTTTATGGTTTTAGGTCTTACGTTTAAGTCTTTAATCTACCTTGAGTTAATTTGTGTATAAGGTGTAAGGAAGGGGTCCAGTTTCAGTTTTCTGCATATGGGTAGCCAGTTTTCCCAAAACTGTTCAGTAAATAGGGAATCCTTTCCCCAACTGCTTGTTTGTGTCAGGTTTGTCAAAGATCAGATAGTTGTAGATGTGTGGTATTATTTCAGAAGCCTCTGTTCTGTTCCATTGGTCTATATATCTTTTTTGGTACCCGTACCATGCTGCTTTGGTTACTGTAGCCTTGTAGCATAGTTTGAAGCCAGGTATCTTGATGCCTCCAGCTCTGTTCTTTTTGCTTAAGATTATCTGGGCTCTTAAAATTATATGGGCTCTTTTTTGTGTCCATATGAAACAAAGTAGTTTTTTCTTATTTGTGAAGAAAGTCAATGGTAGATTGATGGGGATAGCATTGAATCTATAAATTAACTTGGGCAGTATGGCCATTTTCACTATATTGATTCTTCCTATTCATGAGCATGGAATGTTTTTCCATTTATTTGTGTCCTCTCTTATTTCCTTGAGCAGTGGTTTGTAGTTCTCCTTGAAGAGGTCCTTCACATCACTTGTAAGTTGTATTCCTAGGTATTTTATTCTTTGTGTAGCGATTGTGGTTGGGAATTCACTCATGAATTGCCTCTCTGTCTATTATTGGTGTATAGGAATGCTTGTCATTTTTGTACATTGAGTTTGTATTCTGAGACTGTTGAAGTTACTTATCAGCTTAAGGAGATTTTGGACTGAGATGATGGGGTTTTCTAAATATACAATCACGTCGTCTGCAAACAAAGACAATTTGACTTCCTCTTTTCCTATTTGAATACCCTTTATTTCTTTCTCTTGACTGATTGCCCTGGCCAGAACTTCCAATACTATGTTGAATAGGAGTGGTGAGAGAAGGTATCCTTGTCTTGTGCCAGTTTTCAAAGAAGATGCTTCCAGTTTTTGCCCATTCAGTATGATACTGGCTGTGGGTTTGTCATAAATATCTCTTATTATTTTGACATACATTCCATCAATACCTAATTTATTGAGAGTTTTTAGTATGAAGGGGTGTTGAATTTTATTGAAGGCCTTTTCTGCATCTATTGAGATAATCATGTGGTTTTTGTCATTGGTTCTGTTTATGCAATGGATTACATTTATTGATTTGCGTGTGTCGAACCAGCCTTGCATCCCAGGGATGAATTTGACTTGATCGTGGTGGATAAGCTTTTTCATGTGCTGCTAGATTTGGTTTGCCAGTATTTTATTGAGGATTTTCACGTTGATGTTCATCAGGGATATTGACCTGAAAATTTCTTTTTT